TATATATATAGCATGGAGGTCCCTAGGATGACTGTGGCTTATAATAAATTTCGATTTTACTCAATTATTGAAAAAAAAAAAAGTTCCACAGCCTTACAAATGCAAACACTTTCAAATTTAGTCGCTTTAAAACTCTGAAGTCTCTTTTAAAATCTAAAATCTTTAACCTCTCAACTGTTGGCGCCTGTAAAATTGAAAACAAACTAAATACTTCCTTATTTCAAGAAGGAAGAAGCAGGGCACAGTCAACAACCTGGACAAAACCAAAGCAAACTCCAACTGTGTAGATAATTCAATGTCTAATGTCTGGAATTCACACACGACTTCTGGGCTCCTCCAAGGGGCTTGGGTCACTTCTCCAGCTCCGCCCTCTGCAGCACACACAGCTCATCCTCTAAGCTGGGGCAGGCTTTGCTCCTCTGCTGCTGCTGTTTCTGGTGGCCATCCCATGGGACTGACATCTCAAACGCTAGGATCTTCTGCTGACACTGAGGCTGCACCTTCACCAGTGGCCTCTCCGGCCTCTCACAGTGCCAAGCCTCAGCTGCTCTCCATGACCGCCTCAGGCCTTCAAAACCGGTACCACCAATACCAGTGACTCTTACACTACCAAGTTTGGCTGCTAGCACTAGGTACAACCTTGGGCACCCCCACAGCACAGCTTCTGTGTGCTGACTCTCAGGAAACACGTCCCAGAAGATTTCACCTCAGTAATGCTGGTCTCTTCTTCGTCACAGCTGATTCTGCAGCCCCAGCTGAGCAGAGCCACGAATCCTACTTCAAACATCAAACATCCCTCGTAGTCTTACTGTTGTTTTGTTTTGTTGAAATAGGGTCTCTCCATAGTCCTTGCCTTTTTGGAACTCACTCTGTAGACCAGGCTGGCCTTGAACTCACAGAAAATCCACCTGTCTCTGCCTCCCAAGTGTTGGGACTAAAGACGTGCATCACCACACCCAGGAAGCTCTGGTTGTCTTTAAGGAACTCTCAAACTTCCCTCGGTAACATCACAAGCCAGGCCCCCATTGTTCTCGGCATTCTGATCTCGCAGGCTCCCACAGAACAGCCACTGAGCTCTGCAAACTCCAAGTTCAGGTGCCACGACAACAGTCCCTAAACCACGGCATGTCTGTCACCTTAGGATCCCTATTGCTGTGATAAATCACCATGACCAAAAACAACTTGGAGAGAAAAAGGATTTATTTTAGCTTATACTTCCAGGTCACGGTCCATCATTGAAGGAAGTCAGGGCAGGAACCTGGAGGCAGGAGCTGATGCAGAGGCCATGGAGGGTGCTGCTTACTGGCTTGTTCTCCATGGCTTGCTCAGCCTGCTTTCTTATAGAACCCAGGAATGCCCCCACAAGGATGGAGCAGTCTGTAGTTACCTGGGCCCTCCCACAGGCCAATCTGTCGGGGGCATTTTCTCCATTGAGGTTCCCTCTTCCAAAATGACTCTAGCTTGTATCAAATTGACATAAGACTGTCCAGCACAGACCATAAGAGACTAGAGAATGCTTCCAGGCAGGTCCTGTATGGGGGATACTCTAGGCTGCGTGGTTGCAGGAATAGACCTGAGTGGGCAACAGCGCCGGAGTGAAGGAAAGACGAACACAAACACAGGGATACCTGGGGTCAGGCGGTCTGGGCCTTTGCCACCCTGGTAGTTCAGCAGGGTTGTGGTCCAGAGCTGAACAGAGAGGCGGGGTTATTGCATACCGATGAAGGAGGCATCTTATTTCAGACAGATAAGCCAGGAGGCGGGGCCTATATACACAGAGGGATCTGGAAGGTGGGTTTATATAATCTCTGTAAGAGCAGTCTCTGCCGGGGAGCCGTCTTCAGACTTCCAGCACCCAGTGGGAGAATGGAGGATGCTTTCCACACACCCTGTCAGCATCACACATGGAGCGGAAGACAAGGCTTCGTCCTTTGCCTCAGAATCTGAGGCTCTGGAGTCCTCGGCATGCCCATGCCCATGTCAACAAATGCATCCCTCAGCGCCTCACACACTCGGGCTTCCTCTGGGGTGGGGGCCTTTTCTGAGGCAGGTGGATGGGTGGGCCCAGGGTCAGGGGTGAGCGTCTCCCAGGGAACCCTGCTTAGGGAAGCAATGTGGCAGAGAAGTGGGGTTCTGTGGTCACAGAACTGCCAGCTCTGTGTGAGGCCAGACACTACGGTGTGGGGGTCATTGAGCTGAGAAGTGGGGCTGGTGCCTCCTGAGCACCCCTGAGCCCTTATCATCTGGGAGGATGTGTAATGGGGCTTGGGTCCAGGCTGAAGACTTGGGGACAGGGTGGCTGTATCTGGAAATCTGCCCCAGCCCCCTTCCTGAGATGGACACACACATGAGCACACCCATACACACTGAGGTACATACACACATGTGCTAATGGATGATACACACTCTAGCACGTGTGGGCATATATGGGCCTGCGTATACATCAGGAAATGCATGTGTGCATGTACCTGCATGCACACAGGCACATATCACAACATCTACACCTGTATGCACACATGCAGGAACCTGTGCCTTGCAAGCCCACAGCCATGCATCTGCACATGTATTTGTACCCGTATGCATGGATTAAAGCTTTGCACACAGAGCTGTGTGCTTGCATGTGTGTCTGCATGTGCACGTGTTGGAAGCTTGCATGGAACCCACAGAAGCGCTTCTGAGGGGAACAGAGCCACCAAGCTGGGTGAGCAGGGGCTGCCCCGTCCATCTACACCTGAGTCACATTTTCTGGAAAGTGTGAGCGATGGTGTGAGTGAGAGTGAGCTGGGGGCTGGGCCTTCTGGGGGCACAGGAAGAAGAGGAGGGTGAGTGGGGAAAGCGGAGGCACCGAACCTCAGCTTTAAAGTGAGCTCCAGGGGCCGCAGGAGCCTTTAGCAGTTTGCAAAGCCCAAGCATTGGGCAATTGTGGTTTCCTCCGGAGGGGAGGAACTCAGGCTTGCCAGCCCCGTCCCTGGGCTTCTGGGCCTCAGCTGCTCTGGCATGGAGAGTGTGGTACAGCCTTCAGTGTTTGTAGTGGATGGACAGACAGACATCCCGTTCAGACGGCTGGGACAGAACCACAGGAGACAGCGCTGCGGCATTGCCCAAGTCAGCCTTGCCCTGATACTGCTGCTGGGCGCTGGGCTGGCTACTCAGGGCTGGTTCCTACTGAAACTGCATCAGCGTCTTGGGGACATAGTGGCTCGTCTGCCGGTAAGTGAAGCTGGAGGGGACCAGGGGACCCTCTCCAGTGTTTGTCTCTTTATGGCTGTGTGCACGTTACAGGCAGACCCCAGGGGTTCTGATCCTGTCTTTTCATCTATACGTGGGGATCTGATGGAGGGATATGAGTGTGTGGTGCCGGGCGGCTTCCCTGGGGTACACCTACATGGCTGGCGTCGCTAGCCGGACCCTTGTCCCCATCACTGCCATCACGGCGGTCATCCTGGTTGGCTCTGAGATGGCGGAATGCTTGCTCTCCATCCCTTTCAGACAAGCCGTGGCTGTATCTGTCTGTGTGCCACGCTGGTCACTCATGTAAACAATATGCTCCTGCACGCTTCATCGTGGTTTTCTTGTTAATTTTTTTAAATTACATTTACGTGTTCAGTGTGTGTATGTGAGCGTGTGTGTGCATGCTGCAGCACATATTTGAGACAACTTCATGGGGTCAGCTCCGTGTCTCCCTTTCTGTGGGTTCTGGGGATTGAACTCTGATCACCAGGCTTGGTGGCAAGCACTTTTACCCCCTGAGCCCTCTCACTGGCCCTCAAATAATTTTTTTAAAGATGTGTGAATATTCCAAAAACTCTAAAAACAATTCTGAAACGCTTCTGGTCTCAAGCATTTCAGACACTCAGCTTTCATCAGATCTTAGATGGATCCCACGGCACACACCTATTGCCCCGGCTCTTGGGCCAGAGGGGCAGGAGGCTCAAGGGTTTCAAGGCCATCCTAGGCTACTTAGCAAGTTTGAGGCCAGCCTGGGCTACTTGAGAGCTGATCTCAGAAAAAAACATATCTGGTGTGTGTGTGTGTGTGTGTGTGTGTGTGTGTGTGTGTGTGTGTGTGTGTTGTGTGCACATGAGGCCCTGTGTATGTGTCCGTGGGTGGTGTCTGCGGCCACAGCCAGACAGTCTCATCACCATGTGCCTGTGTGACTCTGGGTGTGGCCTGTCCTTACCAAGCACCCTGTCTGCATTTCAGGATGGAGACCCAGGCTCCTGGGAGAAACTAATACAAGGTGAGTTTGGGTCCCAGGCCCTAAGAAGCAGGGGGAATGCTCTGCCCCTCCCCACACCCTAGGATCACCCAATGTGATTTTGCAGAGCCCCACAGGTGCCCCTCCCCCAGGGCTGGAGAAGCAGAAGTCTGGGTCACTCCGGAAGGGGCTGAACCTGACACCTAGCAGTGGCCTCAGTGACCCCTGTTTCTCTCTGCCCCTCTAACTTCTGACTGTCTTCCTCAGAGCGGCGGCGGTCTCAGGCCAACCCAGCAGCACATCTCACAGGTGAGGGGACCCTGGGTCTTCACATGGGATGGGGCTTGGGGTGTCCTGGGAGACCCAGGTCTTCGCAAGTTAGAGCAATCATGCATACATTCATCCAGTGTGTCTTTAATTTTTTTTTTAACATTTGCTATTTATTTATATTGCTCACACACATACACATGCCACAGTGTGGGGGGCAGATGACAGCTCTCGGGGGACAATTCTTTTTTTCCACCTCGTGGCCTCCAGGGATTGAATTTAAGACCTCAGACTTGGCTCCAAGTACCTTTACCCTCTGAGCCATTTCGCTGGCCTCAGTCCTTCAATGCTCACTGACAAGTGGCCCAGAAATCACAGCCACTGAGGGCCATTTAAAGTCATCCCTTCCCCCTTCTAGTCATGGGGACACATCCCAAGGTCATCAGAGGCCTCAGAGGATGCCAGGACACAGACCTATCACACCCAGAGCCTCTCTTTGTAGCCTGGGCTGCCTTGGAACTTGCTGTGTAAATCAGGCTGGCTTCACACTCCCGGAAATCCAGCTGCCTCTGCCTCCCGAGTGCTGGGACTAAACGTGTGGGTCACCACGACCAGCCATATGTACCGTATTTTTTTCTTCCATACCACAGACGGTTTGATTTCTAACCTAACACAGTAAGAAATTAATCAGAGGGAGGCAGAGCCAGGCGGATCTCTGTGAGTTCGAGGCCAGCCTGGGCTACCAAGTGAGTTCCAGGAAAGGTGCAAAGCTACACAGAGAAACCCTG